ACCATACGTTGAGTTGAAAGTATCAGGTTTGCATGCAGGGAGCCTAGTAAGTTATATTTACCATATCGATTCATGATTGCTGTACGATGCATCTGCACAATATCAGCTAATATTGAGATTACCAACTCAAATGTACACAATTTAGTAGTTGTGTGTGTGTGTGTGTGTGTGTGTGTGTGTTGCTGTTTTGTACAGGGGTTTTTATTGGATAGTTGTGGTGTTGCCGTGGGTTTCAGAGGGAGGCTGTTGACAGACGAGCCAACCAGGGCTTACTGTGGTAATCTGGACAGATGATGATGAAATACACCAGTTTATGTTTACATATGAAAGAGCATTGCCCTGCTGACCATGTTCCACTATTATAGACCTCCCACACAAAACACCATCTAGACACACACACACATGGACATACGCACGCACACACACCTCCACACACACACCTCCACACACACCTCCACACACACACACACACACACACACACACACACACACACACACACACACACACACACACACACACACACACACACACACACACACACACACACACACACACACACGCCATGTTATATTCTTCTATCCTTGTGGGAAAATATAATTAATTTCCATTCAAAATCCTAACCACTAACACCTTACCCTAATTGTAACCCTAACCCTAAACCTAACCCCTAATGTTAAAATAGCCTTTGTCCTCATGGGGATGTCTTCACTATGGAGAATTTTCCTTGTTTTACTATCCTTGTGGGGACTTCTGGGGATTTTAGGTCCCCAAAAGGATAGAAGAACCAACCAACCCACACACACACACACACACACACACACACACAGACACACACACAGACACACACAGAGACACACACACAGACACACACAGAGACACACACAGAGACACACAGCATATTTTTTACTATCCTTGAGGTGACCTAAAATTGATTTCCATTCAAAATCCTATTTTCCCTTAACCTTAACCCCTAACCTTCATTCTAACCCTAACCCTAATTCTAACCCTAACCCTAATTCTAACCCTAACCCTAAACCTACTGGAACGAACTGCAAAAATCTCTGAAGCTGGAGACTCTTATCTCCCTCACTAACTTTAAGCATCAGTTGTCAGAGCACCTTACCGATCACTGCACCTGTAGACAGCCCATCTAAAATTAGCCCACCCAACTACCTCATCCCAATATTGTTATTTATTTTGCCCTGGTACCCACAAGAATAGTTAAACACGTTCACACACACACACACACACACACACACACACATCACATGCCCTTTATTGTACAGTATCAGGACCTCCTCTCCACAGTCACAACTCAAGCACCACTACATATCTCTATCTCCCTCTCTCCCGCTCACTCCCTCGCTTTTATCTTTCTCTCCTCGCTCCCACTCTGCTTGCGCTCTCTCACAGGGTTCCCCTCTCAGGCAGATATATGAGTGTCACTACATATCCCTTCCTCTTTTTAGCTCTCCTGTATTATCTCTGAGAATATAATATTTGTCCCCTGTTTTAGAGGGCCTTAGTTGGGCCTGGATTTGTCAGTTTTAGCTTGGTTGGGCACCTTTCTCACACATACACACACACACACACACACGGAAAGACACAGTTATTGCAGATGAAATGTGTCTCTGTGCGTCACCCGGGTCTCTCTGTCAGCAGTGGTTGGGTAACCACAGTGATGAGTCAGAAAGCAGTGTGACGTGTAGGGCAGATCAATTCTGACTGAGTTAGCGGAAACACACCTCAGCTTAAATAACACAACCACCTGCCTTTCAACCAGCTCACACAGTCTCACGTCAGAATTAGACATTCATCCATGTTTCTCAAATGTCAAATTTCGAAGTTGTTCCAAACGTGAAATTTCTAAGTGTTTAAGGTTAAGTTTAGGCATTAACTCCAAATGGTTAAGGTAAGGGTTAAGGTTTGGGATAGGCTTAAAACTAAAGATAATATCAAACACGACTTTCTTATCGCTGGATTTGAACTTCCAATCAACCAATCCCGATCCACAACGCCCTAGCAAAACTGAAACCTACTTGAAGGTAACAGCGCTAACAGCGGGTGAACTCGCCCAGTCTTTATCCCAGACAACACGGTGCCACCACGTGTTATTAGACAAAAGGGGGCATGAATTGTTGACATAATTGTAATCCAAACCAAACCCTCAAGTAAGTCATGACGCAGTCACTTACCAAACTCCGTTTTGGACGAGACTGACTTTATGACCAAAACTGACCTATTTACACTTTGTAGTTAATTTTGGCACTACAATTAATGTTTATTTCGCATTTCGATGACACAGAGGCCGTTTAATACCATAGAAGTTGGTTCTAAGGGGCAGTTGACCTTTAATAGTCATAACAGGGACAGTGATGTATGCAACTGTAAGATGCATAGCAGTGGAGAGAGTCAGAGCACCTGGACCAGTGAGGGAGTTAGCCAAGGAGTTACAGAGAAAGTGAATTAAAGCAAGTGTTTGGGGTTTTTTTTTAAGGG